CCCTCTTCAAGCATTCCCTTTGACTCTGCCATTTATTTTGTTCCCAGACCAAGGGGCTTATTCAATGTCCACTCAACTAGGATGGGGCTTGGTTGGCAGCAGCCATATCTTTACACAACTCTTCCCCCCCCAAAAGAGATAGAATTGGGATTGAAGGACTTTGACAAGATCCATGGAACCACTTCAGGAGTCTCCCCAGCGGCGGGGTGTCAGGCCCTTTGCACCTATCACCAGGATTATACCTTGTAGACACGATTCGTATGCCACTATTTCACACTTCGTGGCCAAAAAAAGAAGCGAAAAGGAAGCGGTTTGTACTAGTCGTGGCCTATTAGGAAGAAACGCGGAAGGAAACGGTTTGCACAAATTTCAACCAGCAACACAACAATGAATGAGCTGCTTGTTACAATACAGTGAATATGCGAAGTTGCGAGGAACAGCCCTGCAACACAATGACGACTAGCCAATCCTTTCAGCGAACCGCTTTAGCGAAAGTCTGCAATGGATGTAGTGCAAGGAATAGAACACAACGCGCATACTAGCGGTACTACCTATTTGTAGCAACAGTTTCGTTCGCGAGGAAGTTTTTGATTTCTTTCTAGCTGGGTCGAGGAAGATGAGGTGCCTTTGAACTGGTTCTGTTGCTCTGGCAAAATTCACTGCGACGACATCATAACACGATCGCCGACCCCCATGGAAGATATGACACCACCCCCAGCAACAAGCAACCCTGAATACTTTAAGGAATACTACCAGCCTGCAAGTGGCCTGAAGACGCATGAGCAAATCAAACTTGAGCAACGGCGTAATTTGATGTTATCGATTGGCTTCTTGATGACATGAAGTTCCAGGGTTCATGGCTTCTTTCAGCTTTTTGCAGCTTTGCGCTTTTGTTCAAATGAGTTGTCAGTGCTTTCTGTTCTGAATCTCACCAGGAGCACTTTACCCAGGTGGCCGCCATGCCACGAGATGAGCGCGAAGCTTGCCGGTGAAGCCTTTGCCATATCAATCTAGACCCTGAAGGGGGGTTTTCAGGAGCACCACTGATGGCTCCTTACAGGTCCTTACATCACCATATTCTCAAGACCAACAGGTTCAAGATTGAATACCAGCAAACGGCGTGCCCACGGTGATTTGCATCGACGACCTGGGGTCTGTTGAAAGGTCGACCGTCACCATCACCCGCTCGACCACTCGATCACGGCCGAGGAGCTAGGATTGATCAAAGCATTGGCCGGAGATCCGATGCTTGGAGAGACGAGTTCGTCTGAGGGGGGTGCTCCCAGTCGTGGATGTTGAGTGGCTCACATTGGAAGATAAGGCTTCACAATGGAGGGGCCCACAGAATTGGGGTGTTTTGGAGCTAGGAAGACCCCAGAACTTGAGTTCACTTTGGAGGTCGATCATCAACCCTTTGGTTGGTTGGGGAGTTCCCTATTTCCAGACAAACCCAAATAGCAGACACAAAGGCGGTGCAGTTGGTTGAACCTACGGACAGCACAGCTGTGACTGGCAGCTTACAAGGAGGAGGTGATGACCCATCCAGTCCTTGGAACGCTGTGGGTTTTCACACATCAAATAGTAGACACAATAAACACCTACTCCTGCTGTTGCAGTTTGGAGGAATCAATTAATCTTTGTGTGACCACTGCCATTGACATGGGGAACCTACACCCCCAAACTCTACGAAAGAACAAGCTGTGCACATTCTTGACACAGAACCGGTGTGGCCAGGTTTTGTCTTCAAAAGCGGTCATCCCTAGGACTCTGCTGGGAGGTCGCTGTGCCGGAGACAAGTGGGTGTGTCTCAGCTGGAGGAAGACCAGGCGTAGAAGAAGTGGAACTGAGGGAGTCTTTGAGAGTGGATGCCAACAATTTTTGCAACTAAAGAGTGGTGTTATAATCAGGGCATCCCCACGCCCCACGCACCTCGTTATTGGAAACATCAGCTGCAATTGAGGTCCAGTAGAAGTTCAAGCAGTAAGAAGTAGACTCTTCCACTCTGACTCAACAAATGAGGATTGGAGAGATCTCCATTGAGCTTCCATCAAGCATTCTGAACTCAAATGTTGGGGCTGTGGCACAGCACAACTTGCAGGGCTTCATTTCTGATTGTCAGAGAACAAAGCAGTTTCAGGGTGGCTTTAGAGGGGCTTGCCAGGCACACCTCCTGGCAGAACTCGGGCCTCAGCATTAATGCTTCAACATGACTCGCTGGCATCACGTCCCAGGTACCTTGATGGCACTCGAGTGCCGGAGGCTGTGATCAGCTCCAGCTGTACAAACGGTCAGCTCCTTTGCGTGCAGGCCGAAGCTTAAGCTCTCTTGCCTCACTAGACCCGAACCAAACTGCTTCAGGCACGAAGAAACTGGGGATGTCTCAGCTGCACTCCAATTGGAACCCCCAAGTGGAATGGGTTCCTGGAAGACCACTTTCAAGAAGCGGTGGCCACTGTGAGACTCAAGGATTGGAGCAGAAGCACGCTTCCCTTCTTCCAACACTTGATATAGGTCCCAAACAGATACAAATGGTTTTCAATGCCTTTCTCGAGGGGATTTGCTTATCTATGGATCTTTTGGTGTCCACTATAAAGACCATTTCCCGAAAACGTGAGGTGTGATGATTTGTCGTTTCTGCACAGGAGAATGGTCTCAGTCGAAAACATGTTCGGCCCAGGGTTCCCAGCTTTGAAAGCAAATTTATGCTGCCAGGGTTCCCCCCTTTGCGTTTTGCTCTCGTGTATATGTTCGGACCTCACATTCTGGACTACTGGAACCCAAGACTGGCCATCTAATTTTCCAGTTTCCAACTTTGTGTTCCACCACCTCTTCATGGTCATCAAGCTGTCAAATTTAAATGTTGTGGTTATGGATGAAAAGTAAAGATGATCTCTGAAGCTCGGTGTTCAACAAGTGACCTCCACCATTCCCGGGTCCAGAAGGGACAAACCAGCACAGCCAGTCCGGCGCAGGGTGGGACTGTCTCCGCATGCGATGGGGCACAGAAAATTGCTTGCGCCTTTGATGCAGAGGTCAAGGGTTGTATATACAATACATGCTGCAATATATATATATATACATACATACACTCACTGTACATAAGTATACATAATATATAAATATATATATACACATGTACATGCATGCATACATACAGACATAGTATGAATGTATACTTTGTGCTCCCCATGTGGTGTGAGATTTGTTCTTCTCATTACATGGACGTGTTCAAGAGGGGAGCCACACAGAGAGTATGAGTCAAAAAAGACTCAAAGGCCTCTGTGAACCCCAATGAGCTAAAGAGCTGCGGGACACTCTGAGTTGGACCTCTCTGGGTCTAGCCATAGTTTCTTTTGGCCAAGGGTCACATTTCTACATTGGCACATCTAGTAGTCAGTGGGTCCTTAATCCACAAGACTTTGCGAATACTTCTCCGGTGCCGAATTTGTATCGGATAGAGGCAGCTCGATGCATATGAGTCTTTGGAACCTCTTGCATCCAAGGCCAGATCCCCCGGCTATACACCTGCAAGGCCGACGTGACCTTGGAGGATTGGAATAGTGCGTTCGGGTTTGTCGCAGAGCTATCTCCACTTTGCCAAGAACCTAAATCGTTGGAAAAAGATGCACACTGTGAAGTGACCTGTTCAATCGTCCATTGCTTGCCACTGCGCAGAGAGCCTCACATGCACATGCTTGAGGAGCTCCTCACCGCATGCCCTGGAGGGATGCAACCGGCAGAGCCGAAGAGTGTGAGAGATCTGGCCACCAGGCAGAATATGCGAGCATAGTAGCACACTCAGGGATAAGTTTTGATTCATTTTCCCTTACTGTCTCCCAGTTTGGACGATTGTGAAATCAGGTTCCCTGATTTAGAGACATGTGGAGCTCCACATCTCGGGCTCCACTCTCACACCAAGGCAGCTGCACAAGATGCCATGGACAGTGAGAGCTGCACCACCAAGCAAGCTTGGACAGGCCACCTCGCAGATCTGTGCTCAAAGGGAAACAAAAAGATGACACGAGGAAAAGATGTTTCGCTGCCCCCAACCTTTTGGCGTCGAGGCTACTCCAGAGGGCCCAACGAGCAGCCTCAATGCTTCGAGGAAGGCGAGACGCCGAATTTTTGCGCAAGAGATGCACACAAGACTTGTATAACATATACTGCAACCGTCAAAGAGCATAGGCTGGGATTACATTATCTTAGAACAAGACTGCGAAGGTTACTCTCACTTTGTCATCTCGCATCTCCTTCAATCTCGAATGGCTACACGAGAAAAATAAGATTCCACATGGCCCTACGGCCTGCCCTATCCGAGACAGTTCTATCAGGGGCAGGTGGGGGCAGCAGGTGGTTGCCGACTGTCCTTTTGCGTAGCCAATTCGCGCCAATCCAACGCACTGCTGCAATCTCCTGGTGCAACAGGATTTGTTCCCTTCGAACAGTGTGGAGTCAACCGTTTTGATAAAGATGCCCTAGCGAGTTTATGATTTGCCGTTAACAACTCAAAAGCTGTAATGTGTGTGTATATATATTATACATTACGCATGCACAATATTTTTTTTTGTGTGCTTGGTCTCGATGATTCTGGCAGGCAAGACCACCACGCAGACATGCGACAATGAGCCCAAGAGAACGGTGATGTGCGAGACAAAGTTCACGTAATTGCCGATGAAATACCATCGAGTCCAAAAAGGGGCGGTGCGTTGCGGACAAGGGCACCGCTACTAGTAACAAGGGCATTGCGGCATTACTACTAGGAGCAAGGACACTACGAACGTAGCTGGCTACTAGTAACAAAACCATCGCTACTACTACGTGCGCTTTCGCAGCAGAAGATGTGGGGGATCTTCGGCGACACCGAGGACTGGTTCGATCGAGTGGTCCGCCCTCACTGAAACGTATTCTGGGTCCTATCGTCCGTGGTGTTTTGCTGGGGATTTGGAACTCACTGTTGAGCCCTTTGGTTGGTTCGGGCTCCCAGTACACACCTGTTCCAGGTGGTCCTGAAAAGCTTGAGCTTGCCGTGCGTGCCTTGAGACCTGTGCAGTCGGGGTTTCCTTGGTTCTTTGTGCCGAGGTTTGCTCCGGGATGTATTTTCATGTTTTGTTATGCAGGCATTCTGATCCCCGGCCTCAAGTGACATAGGAGTGAGGCTGTCGAGAGGTGGAGCGGGGTAGATCCATAGGTGTTGCCTAGTAGCTACACAGCGACCCGAACCAGCTCAAGGTCCCAGCCCATGGCCGATGTGACGACCCAGATCAACCACTTGGACGCACAGAAGAAGATCCTCATAGCGCTGCCCAATGCCTTGGGTCTCAGCAGTCGATCCAGGCCTTCTGTGGAGGGTCAGAGGGCAACAAACCTGCAGAGGCAGCAGGTAAACTTAGCAATTTAGCATGTCTATGAATAGACAAGTACTCGCGGCTACTAGCCTGCACACGTGTTCTTTGCAACGCAGGCTGACCTTCCCACCTCTTCACAGGTGATTTCTACTGCTTTGTTCCCAAATGAATAGTGCGAGGGCTTGTTCACAGAAGCTCCCCCTGCCCTAGGGCCGGGGCACTCCTATCGGTCCCTCCAACCATTTCATACCAGCCGACTGCTCTGAATGAAGGGGATGGGAGACTTGGAGCATTCCCGAAGCCCAATGCTTTTCTCTCTAAAGGACTCTGCCCAAGCAATGTTCCATAAATGGGAACACGGAGCTGGAAGAGAATCCCACCGAGGTGTGCGAGAAGAAGAACATGTCCTTCAAGCGCACGTTGGAACTCATTGTTCCTTCCTAAGCCGCTGGAGCTCGCCGCACATGAAGCGCCACAGATGGTCTCATGTCATGCTCCACTGCAAAATCGGTTGACATGGCAACGCTAAAACCTTCAGGTGAACCAAGACTTTCTCAGGCCACCAACTTTGAACATGTTTACAGAACTCAGGTTGATTCAGGTTGATCCAGGAGTTCATTTTGATCTTGAGAGAGCCAATTTGTCGTCAGACGACCCTGAACCAGCTTTCCGTACATCATTCAAGATTTGTCGACTTAGTTAGAGCTGATCGCACAGTTGTGTAGTAGAATGGACTCCGAGGATTCCTTGAAGAGCTTCGGTGGTGAACACCCCGAGCTGAAGGTCCTGGATTGGCTGGGAATCCCAGCTTCGGATGATGGAAGTCGACCGCCAGAAAGCGTTGAGGTGCTGATACGTGATTCGTAGTGATGAGATAGCCTAGCCCATACCAAAATGCACAATTCATGCACAAGTTTGCCCACAATTCGGATGTGACCTCAGCTTTTGAGAGATCAAAGAGTCCCGCAGCCACAACACTCGCTTGGTGGGTTTTCAGACCAACATCCGGCGATTTGACACCTCGATTTGCGAGGTGTTGAGTCCTTGAATCCTCTCAGAGATGGGTCCTAGGTCAGGTCATACTGGAATCATTGACGTTATGCACAACTCTATTCATGCCTGCTTTGTCAATGTGGCTTCCACAACAGTTCACTCCACAGGCAGTCACTATATGCCTGGTTCTCTTGGTGTCACATATCCTTCATGCAGAACTTGATCCCCTTTACTTGGATGGAGAAAACTACTGCAAGTCCTTGGCTCTTGGCCTCATCTCTTCATCCACTTCTTCACAGTCTCTTCGCAGTCTCAGGGGGACTCCGACCTGATTCCTTCCCCTCGAGTGAATGCCATGGCGGATGGAACTCTTCAGCCTGCAGTCTTCCCGGAGATCGTGGGGGATGCACCATTCAGGGAAGTTCCTCTGAGGCACACGAGAGACAAACCTGCTGGTGAAAAAGCCTGGAAAGCTTGATTCAGCTTGATGTGTTCAAAAGCTGGACAATCATGCAATGGACACCTCTACCCTCTACATTGACATTCATACATTAATCATTGAGCGACCGACTGGACATTTTTTTCTGACCTCAGGGCATGAGTGACATGAGGGTAAGGTCCAAAAAGATGATCCGAGCTCGGCAGATCATGTCTGAGGGGAATCAGCTCTAAACGACTCGAATGACTCGAACGAGTGTAACAAGAGCTTTACTTCCCTGGAATCGCTGCTCATTCTGGAAGTTGCAAACACATTTCTGGGGAAGCCTATCATGTGATGCATGTTCAATTTTCCTTTAACTCGGGACATGCCATGCTCATTGTTCCATTGAAGTGAACATGGATTTGATGTGCCAGCCAGTTTCAAATGTTCTCCATCTTCACAATACCTTGCCATGCATTCCTGTTCTTGGGATTCTCAAACAGGGAGATGTGAGCAAACACCCACCCTCAATTCCAAAAGATGTGAGAATTGGTTGTCTCAACCGCTCGGAAGAACTTTCCGTCGCCACAGGCACGAAGAAGAAGACTACGTCCTTTGGCTTGGAAAGGACGACCGTCCAATGATTTCCACCTTACACCTCAGTCTAAATGAGACTAGATGCCTGAATAGCTCGTGGTCATGTCTTTCGTTTGAGTTTGAGCACCTTTTTCAGCCAAAACCAGAACACCAGTTGGGGCACAGTACGACTACCCAGTGGGGTTGCTCACCACAGAAAGCCATGGTACCATGAGAAATCTGCGTTTTGCCTCCCACACCATGCAATGTAAAGACCATGGAACCCCACTCGACGGGACTGGATCCACCAGGAGGCCAGCAGCGGGCTGCTGTCTGGGGTCTTGAAGCGCATCCTGCGCCTGCCAGACCTCATGTAGCTGGGCTGCAGATCCTGTTCGGTGAAGGCGTCCAAAACGACGCTTCACGCGGGGGAACACGATGGACTTGTTGAGAACTTGAAGCTTTGCACAACGGGTTTGGATGAGCAGCAGCCAATGAGATCTCTGCCTCAAGCCAATTAAACAGTGCATTCCATGTGAGATTAACTCCTCACATCCTAATGGTAGTAGAATCAGAAGAATTTGTTTTGGTAGAACAATCAGACCTAGGTCCTGAATCAGGAGCACTTTAGACAGGGTGTTTTGTTGTTTAAAGAACGTCAGTAAATATTTAGCCACTGCACAAAAACTACACAAGAAAGATCGCCGATGTCGGTCCCTTGAGTCATAAGTATAAGCCTGAAAAAGGAACATGCAGAAAAATGGCGGCCGTCATCTAAATGGTGTCCAGATTTCGAGGCACTTTTTTACAGTAGCTTCTTGTTTCTAGTAGTAAGGCCAGGAGCCCCTAGTAGCGTCCTTGCTCCTAGTAGCGATGCCCTTTGTTCCTAGTAGCTCCTTTCGTTCAAAATTCTTCGCGTCGTCTCTGGACCCGATGGACCGATGTCCTCACGAACCCCTCTGGCGCGAGGCTCGAGGAATCTGATGCATTGCGGCTGGAGGGTGGCCTGGCGCCAGCAGTGAGGAGCGGAGACAGCGGAGCGAAGTGGATAAGTGGTGAGCTGGTAGAGGTTGGTTTGGGTTTCAAGGTCTGGACTTTGAGGTTTCAAGTTTGTGTAGATTTTTGACCTGTGAAAGACCTTGGACTCAGTTATGTAAGGTATCAGGATCCTACCTATCGGTGTAGCAAGCCAACTCTGGAGAGCTACGATTCATGGCTCACCGCCACACTCTGAAGGAGCTCTCGCTGCAGATTCGACCATGAGACTGCGTGCAGTAGGCCTCCTCTGGAGGAATTGTTGCAGCTGACAACTGCAGGTTGGGGCAATTTGGGGTCATGGGCTCCACAGCAGAGTCTGGACATTTTGACAGGTTTCAGGATGTTTTAGGTGGAGGCCATCGCTAGTAGGTTGGAGGCCATCGCTATTAGGTTCAAGGCCATTGCTAGTAGGTTGGAGGCCATCGCTATTAGGTTTTTAGGTGGTTGCAGCCAGCTCTGCGGCAAAGACCTTTGATGCCTTTTTGATGCCTTTTTTCGCGCTTCCGCCCCAGTCCACTTCGTGGGAGGTGCGTCCAGCCAGCATGCGCATGGGGGTCTTTGCACTGCCTATGGCCCACGAGTGTCGAATCAAGACTCGCCACTGGGTCTGCAAGTGACTGAGTTATCAAACTCCAATGACCACTCCAGTAGCGGGACAAACCTCCCTTGTCCAAAAGGAGTTGGAGGTATACAACTATACAGGACTATACAACTTAAGTTTGCCACCACATGTCAGCGTGCAGCTGCATTGGAAAATGCTTGGTGCAGTCTCCACTGTGCTCGGGTGCTCCTGCTTTCTGAGGTATATCTGCTGTGCCGAGTGGGGTAGCATTGCCAAAAGCCCTGCCAGCCTTTTTGCGGTTTGTGACGGACATGGAGGTGGGAAGAAGAAGAGTTTTAAAGGCTTCAGCGGAATGTCCATCCGTTGGTTTCTGGAAGTTTTGAAATTTTACTGGCCCGAGAGAGGTTTTGATTTGCAATGGGTTTCCTATCTACTTACCGTATTACATCTCAATACCATGGATGGTATGCAACTTCAGGCTTTGGCGTATTTAAGTCCGACATTGGTGATTCATGCTCCTGCCCACCTCCTACACTATAGTGCTTGTTGATTGCCGTTTTCTAATTTTGAGGCAAAACTGGCCCAACAATGTTTGAAACCAGCTTGGGTGCACAACGCACCTGCAAACACGTGTTCAAGCTCGGCAGATTGCCTTGGAGATTTCAATTCGGCAGTGCCTTCCCCATAACACCCAGCAAAAGACCAAAGGAAAGGATCACTTGTGGTGGGTGTGTGTGAGTGTGCGTGTCCCTTTTTTTGAAGTTCAAATTCAAATCCAGGGTTTGATCATGGAACAGGTCTCTGAAAGAGATCACACCTGTCGATGCAATCCGGTCATGTCAAAGGTGGTGTGGTGTCGGAGAATTTACCAGCAATGCTGAGCCGTGAGCTGGCGGCACTTGGTGAGCTCGAAGAAGGAAGACTGGTGGAGGCTGTGGAGGCCTGGTTTGGGTGAAGGCGGCTGTTCCAAAAGAGTGCGCAATGTGAACAGCCAATCAAGTTCTTTAAGCCGTAGAGCCTAGTTACAGTTAACTCCTGATGCCAGTAATGCCTTAGGTCGTGTGAAGCAATACCAGCATTGCATTGATAAAGCATCACAGCAATTCGCAACACCCACAGACCGAATTGTCATGACAAAGTCTTTATGCAGGCCATCTTTGTGGAGGTTGATGAGCAGCTGCACAAGAGCTTGGACGCTGCTGCGGAGCGGTGTGGCTCCACATGTGCGGCTGGATTTAACAAGATGGGGTCAGTTGGCATCTCTTCACCGAAGAGTGAAGTGTTCCAAGCGTTTCCACTAGTTTCGACCAACATCTGGGATTAACTTACCATTCTGAATTCTATTTTCTGCGGGCCTTTTCATACAAGACAGGTTCCAGCCATCCGATTGGCTGAGGCACGAGATCGATGTCTCAAGTATGCTTAACGCCTTCTCTGTCTTCTCTACAAAATCCAAAAATCCTTGCCAAAGCAAGCGCTTTTTGCATTCTCATGTCACAAGCATACACAAAAGTCAAAAGGTGCAAAATAACATGCAGCCATCGAACTGCCCGTTTATCCACACAGACCCCAACCACGAAGCCACAGCCAACCCTGAGCAGGTATATAAAACACTCCATATCAAAGTGCTTCATTCCTCCCTGCGCTGATGAAATCATGTAAACACTTCAAAATGCTGAAGAAAGTCTCGGGAACACCCAGGCTTCACCCCTTTAAGGCTCCTGACAACTTAGGATGGGTTAAGGTCCTCAGCTTTTCATATTTGAGATGAGAGTAGAGCAGGGCCGACCAATTGAAATACGACCCAACAAACGATCCCATGGTGGGAATCCTATGGTCGCTTTTCCTGAGGCGCTGTGCCTTTCGTGGCCTGTTGGAGGTGCAGCCCTCGGTGTGGAACGCGAGTCACTACCAATTGAAGCTGAGTTGATTGTAGAACTCAGCCCGTGGTTGGTTGTATATAATACTGCGCATGTTCTGAGCTTTGTGAGCTGGAGTGCGAACGTTCCAGAAAACATATCGACAGGTATCCCTGTGTGGGCCCGTTGGACACTGGAAATCCAAGAATGGTTCGTTTGTCAGCACGGCCAAAATCTAGGGAGGGATTGCTAGTGGCACATATTTCCAAGCAAAGCAGCTGGGCCATGTCTGCCCAGTTTTTGTCGCGTTTTGCAGACTTGGCTGGGCCCCACATCCATGATGTG